TATATAATGAAGGGCAGCAGTCATGGTGAGTGATGTTAGGCCACGCAGATAACAGTTGGAAGGCAAAAAATATTTTATTAGCTTCACATAGTATATTCAAGATATTTTCTATCAAAGGCGGAGCTCAAATTCGCACTCCAAAACTGTGTGCTTAAGTTTTTTTCCTAGGGAAAGTAGCAAAAGAATTTCCCTCTATTTTGTTATATTTGAGGGGAAAAGAAAACTCCCAGGGATTACTATTGGTTTAAGAAATAGTTCGAATGATTCTCACGAAGTTTAAAGGGAAAAATGTCTTTATTTAAATTTATGCATACTTGGGCCAAAAATGGATTTAGAAATTGGATGTAGATTTTAAAAGAGTGAGAAAGCAGCTCGATTTTTATAAATAATTAGTAATAAAATGGGAGTTGTTTTACAGCGAAGAAACTAACATAAAAAGATTAATAGAAGCTTTTTATGTTATATATATAATTTCTGACTCTCTAAATACAAGCAAAAATATATTTTGCAATTTTAAGAGTAAAAAACAATATGTTAGATTTTCGGAATTATATTTGTACGAATTAATTTGTTCTAATTTGTAACATAATACTATTCATAAAAAGTAGTTTTAAAAATATTTTTTCATTCATATTCAAAAATTTTATTATAATAGATTCTATAAATGAAAGAAATTTAATTGATGAATAACTGTTTCTCTTAGATAAGTGTAAATGTGAAAATTGTTTGGAAGTGAGCCGTGTTTTGTAGATTTTACTTTTAACGCAGAAAAAGACAATTGTGTTTCATGCTGTATTTCATTACCATTAATTATTTAAATGCTAATTGTTATATTTTTTAAACTTATTTTGACCTAAATTAATATAAAATAATGAAAAAATTATGAAAAATATAAAAATTGTGCGTCAAAGAATTAGAAAGAAACATAAAAATTTGAAAGAAAAGCTGATTTTAGATGTTTTTCGATTTTCTGCTGCCTTATGAAACAACACTTAATAATTGCAAATAATGTGTTATTTTAATATCTGCTGTGGGTTTGAAATTATTATTTCTGCTTTTTTGGTCACGTAAACATATTTCTAGTCTACTCTCTTTATACGCTAATTCTGAAAATTGCTCAAAATGTCAATGTGAAGAAAATGAAACTCGTTTGTGATCTATTTTTTTTATTATTTAAAAAGTGACTCCATCCCTGCATTTTCTGAGCTTGTAAAAATTAAGAATTATTAATTCATTTTGATAATTTTTAATTCAGCAGAAAAATCTTGTAAAATTATTGCATTGCTAGTAATATAAACCATTAAATTACTTTTAAAATAATTAAGTCTTTTGTCCGTTCTGAAGCCCTGATAATTCTTTATTGCAATGTAGTAAGTATAGTGTAAAATTATTGCTTTGCCGCAAGAGTAAAGAATTTAAACCAAGGCTTTTTTATTTTCCTAGACGAAAGAGTTTCAAAAATCACTGTAAACAGCGCTATTTTTTGCAGGGAAAAACATTATGTATGAGGTATTGATTAATTAAAAACTTCATTCGTTTCAAAAATATACTAATTCAATATATAGGGGAGAGTCGGGTAGCCCCGCCCACTTAAGGAGTATTGCTTATATTTCTGTATAATATTGAGTAATAATCTATAATTTTGTATGTTTCTATTGTTTTACCATCTAATTAAATAATGCAAAAAGAATAAACCAAAAAAAGAATAGTTTAACTTAAAAAAATAGAAATTTAAAAAAACATGTTTTTCAGCTCTTTTCAAGATGAGTCGGGTAGCCCCGCCCAGTTACAAAAATTGGGTTTTTTGGCTATTTTTTCAGGTGTAAATGAGAATGACCAATGTATCGACAATAGATAAACCTCATTTATCATTTTTATCACAAAATTATTTTATTTATTACATATTTATATACTTTTAGTGAATTCTATCATTTAATAACAACAAATGTCATACTTTTTATCATTATTAATGTATATTAATATATTATAATATTAATATATATTTATATTAAATATTTAACGAAAATAATTTAATTTAAGTAACAATAATTAATAACAATAGTTGTTTTTCAATATAAACTTATTTGGTTGATCTCTTCTTATAAACTTAATATAAAATACTTCTTATAA